ATTATTATTATTATTATTATTATTATTATTATTATTATTATTATCATCATCATCATTATTAGTTCCAAGCCGAGGTTGGAGTTGCCTAGCATAGCAAAACTATAGCTTATCATGCTACTCCTAAACTATAGTCTATCAGCTTTAAGTTTTTGAATACTTGGATGATATCGACATGAATTTAAAATTAAAAAGTGTAAGCTATCTCTTATTAAAATTTTATAATCGTTTCCTTTCATTACGATAACACTAGCTGCTTGTCTACATGAGTATAATACTTAATAAATATTTAAAACTTATCGCGAGACCTTCAAAATCAAACTGCCACTCGTCTAGAGAACCAATCATAGACACTCACTTAACTGAGGTTGATTCACTAAAGGAAGGTAAACATCCTAGCAGATGACATAACAGTACGTTCCTGTTTCTACTCTACTGCATTAGGTGTGCCGAACTGAACATCCTGTAACACACCTTTCGATACGCCTATCGTGCTAACTGCAGGTACGATGTTAATTTCTATACAACAAAAAGTATTCCGTATTTCATGCGTTCTTTTTTGTATGCATAAACTTAGGAAGCGAAAAATACCTTCATTTCAGTTCTTATCGCTATACATTTTGATGTTTGGTTAAACGCTTATATTGGTTAGCGATATCGATAGCACTGCAGCACTCATAAAGAAGTTATTACAGAATAAATAGGTTTGATGAAGATAGTGTTTCATTCGAGGCGCCGACAAATATATTTTGATGGTTTATCAGTTGATAATGTGTTTTTTAACCAAGATATTTGCATGTTCAATTATTGGTTGATGAAGCTGAAACTCGCTTGTTAGAGCATACATACGTCTATGTATACACCTCGGTTGCATACGATTTTTACCATTCTTATCTTCTCATCTCATCTCATCTCTTTTCTTCCCTTCGTCTCTTCTCTTCTCTTCTCTCACTTTACCTTTGGTTTCACGGCTCCTTGCCGTACCATTCGTTCTTTTTTCCTTCCATCTTTTCTTATTCTCTCCTTTTCCCTTCCTGATTTTTCAATTTTCACGTCTTCATCTCACTTCCTAACTTCCCCCCTAATTTTACTTCATTCCCCATTTTACTTTTTTGGCCCACCGCATACGCTTTTATTTAATATATATCAATTAAATTCATCTGACATTTTACGCCATCAATATTTTATATCGATGCCTTTAAAGATCAAAAAGAATATATATACATTTTTATCTTCAGTCTACTTCATTCTTGTTGAAAAGTGTCAAGCTTAGTACTAAAAAAATGCCTTTTTGTTCGCATTAAGCATATTTATAGCGTTATGAGTTATATCACTTTTTTCCAAGGCGAAACATAAGTCGTTGATCCAAGGGCGCCAGGACAGACGGATTGGGTTATAAACATGTATGACTGTTTCAGTTATTCGTAGATTTCTAATTGAATTGATATATGTTTGTTTCTAAATGGATACTAAATAGTGTTCACTTATCTTTGAAAATAAATGTTCTTTCCAACCGTCCGTACGATATGAATATTTACCGATGTACTATCCGTGCCAAGCAGCGTCGGCGTCGCTTCGTTAGCAAATACTCTCCTTAATAAGTTGATCAAATTTACCTAAGGGACTCCAAAGTAACAGCACTTTTGGAAAGGGGCTTAACATTCTCTTTGCCAATGTAACTCAAATTACGATAATAATACCTGTTACCTTGGTTTTAGGAGATAGTTATATATGTAATCTGAATCTTTTTATTTTACTTATTTATGTAGAATAAATAATTATTATTGTACAACAATAATAATAATCGCTTTGTTGAAAGAATTTAGTTCATTTTTTATCTTGACTCTCGTTAGAAATTCAACGCTTTTAAAATAATTACCTCCATTATGCTTGCTGACATTAACCAAGGTTAATGTGTTTGACTTGAATATTGAGAAAAGGGTTTTCCCATTTGATGTATATCTTTAACTTCTTAATCTTTACCGTATGTGTAAATTAGGTTCGTTATTCATAGTTATTAACCATGGTTTATTGAAGGTCGGGCTATGAAAATATCACGTCAATGTCATGCCTTATCCAGCTTTTACAACAAGAAAAGCCTTGTGCAATATTAGCCTTTCCAAGGTCGAGGAAACTGGGTGATTGTCTTTAAGAACATATTTCCAAGATGGCGTCTATTTCGCCCCCTATTTAATATGAATGGAGAAACTGCAACCGATTCTCTTCAGCTTAATAGCCCGGCTTAATAGATTTCAATTCACCGTTCTTATCTTTCCTCTCAGCACAGGAAAGTAACGAACGCTTTTTCGTGGAAAATTTGCTCATGATAACAAACTGCCAGTCACGCATTATGGACGTTCGAGGGCATTGTTTGCGCATGAATTTATAGTGCACGTTCGCTCATCGTAATGACTTCATTCCAATGTTTCCATGGGCAAAATATCAAGAAAACCTCGGTATTCAAACTCTTATATCTCTTCAAAACGAAGAGTAACACCAATATTTCATTTCGAAAATTTAAAGAAATCCTAAAGATGTCGAAACACGACATTTTTTCGTCGAATTGTTTTTGTGTCATGAAGAGGATTGCGTTCGTGTTCTGTGCCTAGGAAAGACAAAACGTCAAACTTCTCTAGAACTCAGTCCCAATCGGTAAAATTTTCGTTTGACATACAGGAACTTGTTTGTCAGACAGCAACTTGTTTCATATTTGCGGCAACTTGTCTAGTTTCTTATTTTTCAGAAATGTTTTTCTCTTGTCCCTTTTGGGCCACCTTAATTATTTATAGGTTTTTCTGCAGATAATACATTTACATCAACAGGTCACTGAAATCCAATCAAGTTCTCAATGGAGATTGAAATAAGTTTGGTATTTTTCGAAGGCAGAATTATTCATTCCGCCTTAAGGCTTCGGCAGATAACACGAAAGTATAGCGGTGCAATGAACTACTTCGACGATACGGCGGCCATCTCGACAGGGGGCAAAACAAAATAAAGATGACGGAAAATGTATAGACTTTCGTGTGTTTGTCTTTCTTTTATAGGTAAAGGTGATCGGTGTGTCGTCTTAATTCATATTTTGTTGTATTCTCTCGTGAGGAGCTGTTAAGGCTGCGTTCATAATGTATGGCAGRGGGGGCCAGGTGAAATTTAGGGGGAATGGGAAAAATTTTTACCAGTAAAATGGGGGGGGGGTTTGAAATTTTTTTCAGAGTATTGGGGGGGAGGGGGATGCAAAATGTTTAGAAGAAGCTACGAGAGATTGCCAGGGTGGATAGTAATTTTTTGAGGGTCTCTGGACGCCCAATAATGCCTTGTGATCCAAGATGGCCGCCGTATCGTCGAGTAGTCCATTAATCCCCGTGAGCAAGTCAAGGTTCATATGAGAACTATACAACAAGAGACCATGAAGGCTAGTGTTCTTCATGGTCTCTTGATATAAAGGAAAACAAAAGTCTGAGGTGCCCGGAAAAAATATATTTTACTACAGTTTTGCTAGAATTTCCCTGTTCGCTTGCACTGCCAAAGGACACTTTCTTTGTATACGAAATCGCACGATCTCGAGGAAATTAATAGACACTCGTAATGTTTTGAAAGTTCTTGTAATTGCACGAGCCTTTAGGCGAGTGCAATTAAAGAACTTTCTAAACATTACGAGTGTCTATTGATTCCAAATTGTACGAGAAGATCGTGCGATGTTTTGTTTATAGTTCACTCAACAAAATTTCAGTAAAAAATGCGAAGGCACGCCGTTCATCTTTGTCTATTTGGCGGCCGATTTTCAGCCCATCGCGCAACTGAAATGCATAAAAAAGATTAGTTCTTATTAGTTTTTACGGCTTTTTTAACGCTATAATTGTACTCCTCTCGACAAATCAGAGTCGAGTAATTTTGTTAAGTGTACTATAAGCCTGAAAATACACAAGTTCAAAAACTCATCAGTCAATTTTTCCGATGTCATTTTTACTTTTCGCTCAGTGGGCTCCCTGTGCATGAATATGTTTTTATTCTTTTTCAGACAAGGCCCAACATGGAGTTTTTAAAGTTCCTTTTGATCCTGGTCCTGTCTTCGAGAGGGACAAGTGATTGTCAAGACCAGCAACGTGTAAACATGCTGTTGAACAATCATTTCCCGCTTTATCTGATGAAAGACGAAGAAACTCGTACACCGGGAGTAGATTCCAAAGGAATGCGAAATGTATACCACGGACAACTTGAAAAAGGCATAAATGAAGTCATTAGCAGATGCCCTCAGAAATGCACGAGCATCGAATGGAATAATGCGTTGATTAATAACGCAGACGAAGTGATAAAGCGATTGCATGAAAATACGACAGCAATGTTTGTGTTTCCAATCCCTGTTGAAGTTGGTAAAAAAATCAGGTACAGATAATATTTTTTTAAAATTAAAAACCTATTAGAATGCCTAAAACGACCGCTGACCGTTAATGCACTAATACAATGCGCATGCGCATTATGAAAATGTATGGCTACGAAAACTGAATTTTTTAATCAACTTTTTTCCATCTGTTTACAGCTAGTACCTTTCTGTCTTCAGTCTGAAACACTGGGGAGGTGGGGTGGGGG